ATGCTATTTCGTTTTTGCAGCAGATAGATGGAACATGGTTCCACCTGGATGTCGTCAAGCTAAGCCCCTTTCTGCATTTGTCACAAGCACCAAGTCATTCCTAGGGTTCCCAGTAAAAAGGCAACGCCTGTTGGGAGTTCCCTAGTAAAATAATAAATTCTACTACTACAACTACTACTAATACTAGATCTACCAAGCTGCATAGCTAGCGGACCGCTCTGGCCTGGGCCAACTGGGCCATAGCATGGGGGGCACACCCGAACTATGGTCGGAAAAAATCAAGGGTGTTCGTTCGAACACCCCAACCCCCCCCCCCCCCCTCTGGATCCGCCCGTGCCACTGCACCATACGGGACACACACACACACGCACACACACACTGTACTGTACTGTACTGTATTGACAGCTACCCTAACGGGTCACGCCGCCCTCCACCCAAGCATGGGTATGATGAGGGGCAGTGGCAACAAAAACAAAAACAGCAAGCAGAGAGAGATAGCAGGAGAAAGACAGCGATAGTAGTACCTCTGGTGTGCGACGTATAGAAAAGAGAGATGACAAGAGATACGCACAAAAAGGAAACAATAATTATTTGAACCTGTATTATTGCAGTTCCGAAATAATCAACCAGGTGATGGAGTGTGAGCACCCGAAGTCCCACCTGGACTCCACTGGAAGAACATTCCACGCAGGGATATCAGCGATAGGCCAAGCGTTGAAAAACAGCCATGAGGACACATCGTCTAGAAGTCCACCGCGCTCGAACTGAAATTGCAGGATCGAACAATTTCCCACTCGTCGTCAGGCAGCGTAACTCTTCTCCCTGCATCACCATCCATCTCCAGCAACCGTCTCCACTCACAGCTCATGCCTCTGCCACCACTGTACTCCGAGCTTCGCAGTTTGAAACCATTCGGGGGTCAGCTACACCACCGCGAATGGAGAGACGAGGACGACAACGGTCGTGACAGAAAAGACACTGCCCTGGCGACCGCGTCGCGGAACCCTCGCCCCAGCAAATTCAGAAACACGCCAGGGGCGACTCTGGTGGACCCAGAGCCACCCCGTGGCCTAAGACTAGTAAGAGGAACGACTGAAAACTCAGATAAAACGGAGCTACAAAAAGTGCAACCGTCCCCTTCAAGCACAGTTACACACATACACACACACACACACACACACACACACACACACACACACACACACATGCACGCAGACACTCACACGCGCACACACACACACACACTCTCTCCCCTCCCCCTCCCCCTCAACCCACCCCTTCCTCTCCTCACCTGCACCTTGCTTTTGCATGTCCTACCCCTTTTGTCTGTTAGTCCTAGTCTTCTGTCCCACTTTACCGTTACCCCACATCATCATACGGTAGGATCATGTGCACTAAACTAAGAAAGGGGGGCATGGCTGTTTTTTTGTGCGATTTCACGCCACTTTACAATATGGCCGCCGAAAGTCTCGATCGGGCTTCAATGGCAAGAAAATTTGAATTTTCAAATCGCCAGAACCCAAGTAGGCCATGGTTTCCCGTGGATTTTGGTGACTGGTTAGCCCGGACAGCCTTGGGAACACGCTGATCACGTGCGTCTTGTTTCAAGCTTTCCGCTCGTACCTCACATGCCTGCCTTTCCTTCAAGAAACATTTGTTCTGCGTCGTGCAACTTTCGCTTCACTCTGAAGTACTCCTTGTGTCGTCGCTGTCAAACTCGGCCCCGAGAAGCCTTTCCAGGATTTTTCCCAGGCTAGATGGCAATTTTCCCAGGTAGAGGACTATCCTCTGGTTGTCTTCCCTTAGTATCGTTGTTGTTCGCGCATGAACTTCTAAGTTCGCGAGGCGGGTCAGGAACCTGTTTTCTCTTGATTCGGAAGACAAATGGCGTGGCCCTTTAGTTGCTGTTGAGTCTAGAAGGCTGCTTCCTGCTGTAAATTGCTTAGTTGGCATGTGGGATATTGTAGAAGAAGACAGCAGCCGGCCAAGTGAGCTGGAAATTGTGATATCTCTCCTATTGTGCGTTGAACGAGTACGAAATGTCCAATTTGAATATTGTACACGCGCGCACGCCAAGCAGAGGCCGATAATCACAGGGGCGGTCGATCTCTGGACTACCAGGGGTAGTTTTGAGCATGTTTGAAGCGGAAAGACAGCTAACTGGGCAGGCCAGGACGTCTTTCCACCCTTCTTCTCTCTCAAATTACCTAAAAGTCGAGTATCTCGCTCGAGCGCTTTCAAAACATTTCTCTTGGATTCGCTTCCCAAATCGTGAAACCACGCGAGGAGCGACATGAGTTTCTTCCAAAAACGCAAACTCATCCCGTATTTGCACGATTCGTACAATGTTACATAAATCGCACCGAACGACGCCATATTTATAAGTGGCTGTGCTGGAACAACCGTGGGGGGGGGTATGCTTATGCAATTCATTCACCCTAGTTAAGAAGAAAGACTCATGACTGTAACATTTATATCGGAGGAATAGCGGTGTAGACTCACATTGTCCTTGCCATTATGGCAATTTTTCATGACAAGTTGAGTGTTTGACTCCTTCGAGAACCGCCCCAGTGCATCATTGTCTTCGTCCACAGTGCGGCACTGGACTAGAAATCCCTTGAACGGTTTGCCACCACAGCTCAGCGTCACTGAATGTCGTGTACACATCAACAGAATCAGAAGCAGTACAGCAGCAGAAATACTCCAGTTTAAGAAACTTTAGGTGCTCAAAACTTTCGGTATGAGGGCAAATGTCCAGGTTAGGTGAACAGAAATTTTAGGCACAGAGAAGCAGTTCCCTATTGGATTATGTGTGTTAGTGTTTGTTCGGTGTAATGAAGTTTTAAGTATGAAACAGATGCAACGAAAGTACCGAAAACGAAAAGTACACCGGATATTTTGTGAAATCACGGTAGCCATTAACTGTTAGTGCCATTGCCACGAGGCAATCAGATCAGGTCGTCATAGAGAGCTGCATACACACTGTGAAGTTCTCACCAACTCCCCACAACTTCCTTAACCAGCAATTCTTTTCTAGAGAACAACTGCGGAACACTTTCGACTGGTATATGCACATTGTGTGCGTGTGCGTGCGCGTGTGTATGTGTGCGCGTGTGCGTGTGTGTATGTGTGCGCGTGTGCGTGTGTATGTGTGTATGCATGTGTGTGTGTGTGTGTGTGTGTGTGTGTGCATGTGTGTGTGTCCCATATGGTGCAGTGGTATGTGCAGCGATTTCCAATCGATAGGTTGCGGGTTCGATTCCCGACGATTATGGTCACACACGTCTTTCTTCTCTTTCTCAGACTCTTCCTGACTTTTCTTTCATTCTCCTGGGTGGTTACCAACAGCCAGTGTATGCCGGAGTATGTGGTGTGGTGTGTGTGTAGAAAAAATGGAAAAATGAAAAATAGGGATTCACTGGCCAGAAAAAGTCACTTCAAACAGCTGTGTGGTGGATACCAGGCTAAAAATAGTGGCGGTCAATTCATCAGCCTTGCAAGCTGTTGAATGGTGTAATCCCAGCACAAGTTGCCATGTCTAACATAGCTGTTCGCTATCATCGCTTCCGCGATGGGCATGTCTGAGGTCTGAGGTGTGCGCGTGTGCGTGTGTGTATGTGTGTATGCATGTGTGTGTGTGTGTGTGTGTGTGTGTGTGTGTGTGTGTGTGTGTGTGTGCATGTGTGTGTGTGTGTGCGTGTGTGCGTACATGTGTGCGTGCGTGCGTGCATGCGTGTGTGTGTGTGTGTGTGTGTGTGTGTGTGTGTGTGTGTGTGTGTGTGTGTGTGTGTGTGTGTGTGTTTGCAGTAGAGTCAAGCCTGTTCAAGTGTTTGCAGTGCAGTGGAGTCTGTGTGATTACTAGTTGATTACAGAGTGGAAACATACGCAGTACAGTACAGTCTGGTAGTGTGGTGGAAGTTGCAATATGAACTATGTGTTGACTTCATGCATGGACTGTTATAGACATTGAACTCCGCTAAGAAGTCAATCGGCCACGGTACGGGGCGCTTGCCTCGCAGCCGTGTGTACGCATACGGTACACATTCAGACGGATCCATTTCATGCTGGACACTACTGGTCTCTTTTTGCAGAGTGTACGTGTGTGTGTGTGTGTGTGTGTGTGTGTGTGTGTGTGTGTGTGTGTGTGTGTGTGTGTGTGTGTGTGAACTACAGTGCGTGTACGCACACTAAGGGCGCCGGCCCCGATCATTCCGACGGATTTCAATGCCCACAACCATAGCACTGCTGGCCAAGAAGGGGGCGTCGGACCACACACAGCCATCATGTACCTCTCTTTGTTCCATGTACACCAAGACTCAATAAATAGCACTGACTTGGGCTCGGAAGTTCGAAAAACTTAAGCAAAACTGCCCTCCACGAGTAAATGGTGCTCCAGATGGATGGCCACAGTCCTTACAATAACTTCCGACACCCCTGCAAGCTGGAGTTCATTTCAGTTTGAATTGCGTTTTTGTACTAGCACTAGCATCTTACGTTTCTGATATTTTCCCAATGCTACGCTGCCATTGAATGCGAGCGTGCAGCCTTGGTCATTGACCTGCGACCAAGCTTCATGGAACGGAAGCATAGTCCTGCATGCAATCTGTGGAATGGCACTTCCGTTCCCAAATGCCATGCTCAATCCACTCCAGCATGTCAGCATGAGAGCGCTTGTCAGCTGAACAGAAACGAGAGTTTGGGGAATAGCAGAAAAAAACTTCACTCACTTCACTATCCCTGCGACGATTGACAAGAATGCTTATTTTTTATTTTAACCAAAGATCAACAAACAACAAACGGAATGCGTTAGGGCGCGTTCAGACTACCGTGAATCCCGTCAAACCGTGAATGGCGATAAGCCGTGAAGGACATTCGCCCTACCGATAAACTAAGGTTACTGGTACCGTAAGTTTTGCAGCTCTCACCGCGGCACTGAGAAGGGATTTCCCCTTTTTCCCAGCCTGAGCACTTTGTTACTGCCGGAAAGTGCCAATAACGTCACGTGATCAAATCACCTTGGAGGCTTTCCCAATCGGTCACTTTTTATCGGTGTCTGAACGAGCCCTTAGCCAACAACACGCTCTACAATGGTGTCCACGCACCTCTCCTCGTCATCCCCGTAAATGGCATCTACAATGAGTTGACAAACAAGAACTTTACTTGTGGTTGGAAGATCCATGGCATAGGCTGGAAGTGCACCCGCAACTAACGTTTTCCAACCACGGTGCCTTTTTCTCTTTGAATACAGCACTTCAATAAGGAATGCTGTGAGAGTTGAAGGTGTATCGATTTGCAACAACAACAAAAAACAATTCGCGGGCACAAAGTGTTACCACTCTGTCACCAGACACCCATCCTGTATCGCTCTAGTACAGAGCCTGAGGAGAGAAGGAATAGGTTTAGGTAGTCTAGCTGAGGTTAGCGATGTCATTCCTACTTCTTTACTACTCGCACTCACCAGCAATACTTGAGAGGCTTGAGTTGCCATGATGAGTCCAACACAAACAGCACCTCCACGGTATGATACGGACTCAGGGAGCAGACTTCGCAGCAGAAGACGAGCTCTTGTGATTATGGTTACTCCGCAACGTTCTTCCGATAGGACTAAGTAAGAGCAATACTCTTTGGTTGTAACTAGCCTCGATACTTACTCGGTTATGATCTATGAGGACTACATCGACGAGAACAAGGTGAAAACTGCCGACGTGGCGTTATCAGTCTCACAATTCTAAGAGGCACACTCGGCTCGAGCAGTGGCGTTTAGAGGATCCTGATAGTTCTGATTTGGTCTCTCCCCAGCCCATAATCGATCCTGCAGGCCTTGCATTACGAGTCACACCTTTGGACTGTAGCCTGTTCTAGATCTACGAATGGTGTACCAACAACCACTGACTACGGAATAGGGGACACGGGGCCACGAATGGAATTCTAGCTACATTGTATGCGTACATGCGCCTAGCGCTTTCAGCGCATATCGCCGGTCGAACTCTGCACTTTGACCTCTGTATCCGGACATGGTATCAACAAGAAGATCCATAGTGTACGGCTACAGTTTTGTAGGGTGCCTACAACGACGTGTAGGGGTGACCAAAGCAGGGGAGTAGATCTACGAGGGTTGACTGCTGCCCATTATAGGAATTTAGGGTTCCAAATGTGCCTCCGGCTCCGGAGCTAGCTGTATCACAGCAAAGAAAGACTATCAATTTTCAAGCAGGACAAGAAGAAAGCTCCAAACTGCACCAAAACTAAAGAAGATGAAAACAAAAAGGCCCCCCATGAACCTTGATAGGACAGTCTCATCGATTAAAGAGAAAGCTGAGAAAATGCAAGGAAGAACTACTTAGAGAAGGGAAAGGAGCATATGGGTACGAGTGTTAAAGAAGTAACTGTCCACCACTGTAACTAAATGTAGGTACTATAATTATACAGTGAGAAAGTGCAACAACTACTAGTACGAACTTGACAGAGTACTGACACATTCGACGACCTGACTCCTACATAGTCATTGTAGCTCCAACACATCTCCGAAGCGCTAACCAACAACAGGTGGAATGTGTCAGTACTCTGTCAGTTTCGTGCCTAGTTGTTGCACTTTCTGGCTGTATAATAATTATTATTATTATAGTATTTAGTTATACAGGTGGAATCCTGATAATTCGAATATGGCTTAATTCGAACATACTGCTTATAATTAGAAGTTTTTCCAGGACCGATTTCTATCAATACGAGTCCCACATAAATAATTCTGATAATTCGAACTAGGCCTTGACGGATTATGCTAGCATAATATTTCGCATAATTCCTACCAAAATCGAATAATCGCATAATTCGAGGCAAATTGCATACGAATCGCATAAAATAATGGAAATAAGCACAAATGCTGCTACCCGCGGTCAAGCTTCAGCCGCTCTGAACCTACCCAGAGCTACGTCTCGTTACGGCCTGAATGCTATTTCATTTTTGGCAGCAGACAGATGGAACATGCTTCCACCTGTAGTAGTAGTAGTAGTAGTAGTAGATTTTATTATTTTACTAGGGGAGTCCCAACAGGCGTTGCCTTTTTACTGGGAACCCTAGGTGAATTTTTACCATGTTTACATACAGAGTAAGAGACGGGGCCTGACGGCAGTCAGTGGGAAGAGCATTCCATCTGTCTGCCGCCAGGAAAGAAATAGAACGCATGCCATATTGCGTAGAAACAGGCGGAAGAACTAATGCGCGCTGTGCCTGGCCGCGCGTGCGAGCCTGGATGTCAAGCTAAGCCCCTTTCTGCATTTGTCACAAGCACCAAGTCATTCCTAGGGTTCCCAGTAAAAAGGCAACGCATGTTGGGAGTTCCCTAGTAAAATAATAAATAATTCTACTACTACTAGAATAATCCGCCTGTTCGCACCAAATTCCATAGAGTTGTACAATCATGTTCTACAAGTACATGTACAAGTAGATACACCAGGAAGTCGTAGGTTTACGACTCCCTTGATAACATGTCCAGTCCATTACAATCAAAATATTAGCATAATCCGTCAAGGCCTAATTCGAACCTCAAACTGGATATATCCGGTTAATTCGAAGTCCCACAGATTCCACTTACATAGAAAATGTGTGGGATTTGTGCTGATAATTCGAAGTTAGCAAAGTGTAATTCGAAGTTCACTGTGCATTGTACTGGTCACTGGTCAGTTCAGTTTGCATGAGCAGGCTGTGCCGGTCAGTTCAGTATCCGCGAAATCTGTGTCTAAGGTCCATAGCGCAACTCTGCGTGACTCGACCACGAGAGCATTTTGACTAGGCCTCGACCAAATATGCTAAAAAAAGAGTATTATGCTCGTCGCATATCAGGGGAAACGTCCATAATATGCCAAAGGCTTAGCAAGATATGCAAAAAGATATGCCAAAATATGCCAAAATATGCTCGACATAAGCAGAAAGTGTAGATCATTTCAGTAAAATTTCAACCTTGGAATATTCTTTGGCTTCACGGCTGTCATGCTAATGGTGCAAATCAAAACACATGCGGAATACTATGGCTGGAGTGTGTCCCCAACAACCGTAGCGATAGTGTTCATCCATGGGGAAATGTAGCAAACGCCTCAACTATTCCAAATTCATCCATAAAAGGCATTTCTGAACGCATTTTGTCCATAATATGAGTGATTTTTCCTCATTCTCTTCAGAACAGTTGAATGGACCGTATGCGTGTTAAAACAAAATGGCGTCACGATTTATTGAAAGTGGTATAGTTGGTGGTACGAGTGTTCAAACCCATTTGAACTTCATACTGTTCGTCTTCTTTTTGACATGCTCTCTTTCCATCGTCCTTAGCTTTTGTTTGTTGAGAGCTGTTTTGGCTTTCTCCTATACCTCTGGGGGATGCCAAGTGATGGTTTTGAGAGGCTGGTGATGGCTGTGAGCGAGAGTTTGCCGATCGGCGTCGTCCTCGCTATAGCGATGAAAATACTAGTTACTGCGCACCTGGCAGATATCACAACACGTCGGAGCGTCCAGGAGCAAAGGAATCTTGGGTTTTCACTGGAATCTAGTTCCTCCAGCATCGTGTAACCCACCGTCGGTGAATGGCGGTCCAGAAAGGTCGAACCTGGTCTTCTGCAGCATCTCGCAGTCCTGCGAGGCACACTGAATACGCCTGTCATGTATTCTACAAATAAAAATCACGAAGTAGTGGACTTTACAGTGATGAGTCTATCCTGTATGCTGCAAAAGACGCAGGAAATGTGACTGGTGTCCGTACACTGGACGCCAATATCATCCCAGTCTTCTCCTGCAGGATCTGTTTGACATTGACATACCGATATGTAGTGGGTCGACATTGGCCTGGTTTGGCAGCTATCTGCCTGGTTGGATGTAGCAGGTTTGCATTGGCGCGTTGTCCAGTCCGACATTTTCTTGTAGCTGTGGAGTACCGGCAGGGTTTGAGAGGTTGCTCGTGCTGTGAACACATCTCTACTGCCTGTCTCGTCCTGGAAGTGCCGTCTCGCCGCTTCCTTGCTCTACAGTCACGCCGTTATTTCGCTTTGTTTCGTGGTGCAGCTCAAAACCTGCCCAAACAACTGTGAGCTCGCAACATGGTATGGACAAATTGCACCACTCATGCTGGTTAACTAAAACCGGGATAGTCGAGTAAGCGAGTTCACTCCCTGGGCCATGGCAAGATCTGTTCAGCGCGGGCTATTCCAACCTCCAAGTGCATAGTCACCGATCGATCCATGCGATGGTGGTTGACCTACAAAGAGCCAAGGTCTACGAGTACTACTATTGGATGCTGTCTACATGCAGTCAACAAAATCAAAGTACCTCAGTATGCCCCAGAATAGGGCATGTGCATCTATAGCATGACACAACAGGGGTTCTGGCGGCACCTGTCAAACAAGCAGTAGGGACTAGTGCCAGCCACCTATTGCCAGTATTGGAGGCTAGCCGCTACAGTCTGTCACTGGAGATAATTATTATGTTCACTGTTTAGACTGAGCACAATCAATGATGCCCAATCAATCTGCCCAATGTGTGTTCTGTTCCACCTAATTATAACGTCCCATCGCATCAACCCTACTACACGCACATGTCGTCACTCTAGCACGATTTGTGTTATTATTGTTTATTTTGATTCGCACGATAAATAGAGCACAATAAACGTTAACTTGACCGAAGGTTAAAGGTGACTGCAGATAGAGGAACACATCGAGGTACAGGTACCGGCATCAATACAGTATCAGAGAGAAACAAACAAAAATGAGAGGTACGCAGAAAAAACTCTCGTAAGCCCAATGGGAAGTGGTTGATGAGGGATGAATGCACTCTCCACGCTCATCTACACTGTTCGTGGAAATGCACACATACAATAATATACAACATAGCAATAGCATGCACAGAACCGAACAATTTCATGTTCACACATGCAAGCACAGACCTGAACATTAGTACCAAAAGCCGATACAGACAATATCCCCATACACACAGACGCACACACACACACACACACACACACACACAATGTCCCATGTATGCGCCCGTGGCAAGAAAAGCACGCAAATCTACAAATGCACTGGATGTGAACCCATAGATTTTCTCTTATAGCAACGATAGCGGATCTGATTCTGAATGAAACACACACACACAATACAATCATTGAATGCCCATCCGCAGATGATGGCAGGTCCTGAAAGAACAGGCAGTGTTCCAGTGATGGGGAACAGAACTTCGAGTGGCGAGTGAGGTATACACACACACACGTGCGTGCGCGGGCACACACTAAAGTATTCAGAAATAGAATCGACATCGTAGTATTCATTGGTTGGGGAATGGAAAGGAAAATAAAACATTGCTGTAGGTTATTGTTGTAAGGACACTGGGAGCACAACAGAAAGGTAAGCAACTTGCTTTGAAGCAAAGAAAATTATTATTCCACGGATCTCAGAAGGAAGGAACGTTCCAGAATGCTGCACTGGCAACAGGCGGCCTGCATGTGCGCGGCCCCTGCAGTCGGTGCAGCTGCCGGCCTTGCAGTGCTGAAAAGAATGTGCAGTACAGCATGTCACATAGTATCGCAGCCTGGACAAATAGGCGCTGGGAAGTCCTAGTTATGTGCTCACCTACACCACGATGCACCAATCTTCTGAGCTACTTTGGCAACAACTTTGTCCACTTGAGACTCCCATGGGCTGAGCCAGTTGTTGAGGGCTGCACCAAGGTGGACGGCAATGACCGCTGATGGCAAGGCAATCCATGACACACAGTCACTAGGGCATCGTCAACATGGCGCTGAGGCTGGATCGATAAAATCAACCTTTAGGCTGCCGCGGGGTTGACAACGAGGCCGCTGTCTCGAAGCTAGTCAGTCAGCCTGGTCACCGCCATTGACGAACCAGTCGCCACCGCCAGCAGTGGCGGTAGGTTGTGACAAGTGTGGTGCAATATTGTCAGCAAATTCAGTACTCAGGATAAGATGAGTGACAAAGGGAACGTTGTGTTTGATAATATTGAAGTGAACAGGGATGATCACAAACCCTGCGCGTACTCCACCGTGAGTTACAAGAAAATTCCGGACTGGACGACGAGCAAACACCAACCTGCTACATCCAACCAGGCAGATACTATTACGATAGCTGCCAAACCAGGTCAATGCCGACCTACTGCATAATGTCAATGTCAAACAGATCCTGCAGGAGAAAACTGGGGTGTTGGCGTCCAGTCACTGAGTGTACAGACACCAGTCACATTTCCTGCGTCTTTTGCAGCATACAGGATAGACTCATCACTGTAAAGTCCACTACTTCGTGATTTTTATTTGTAGAATACATGACAGGCGTATTCAGTGTGCCTTGCAGGACTGCGAGATGCTGCAGAAGACCAGGTTCGACCTTTCTGGACCGCCATTCACCGACGGTGGGTTACACGATGCTGGAGGAACTAGATTCCAGTGAAAACCCAAGATTCCTTTGCTCCTGGACGCTCCGACGTGTTGTGATATCTGCCAGGTGCGCAGTAACTAGTATTTTCATCGCTATAGCGAGGACGACGCCGATCGGCAAACTCTCGCTCACAGCCATCACCAGCCTCTCAAAACCATCACTTGGCATCCCCCAGAGGTATAGGAGAAAGCCAAAACAGCTCTCAACAAACAAAAGCTAAGGACGATGGAAAGAGAGCATGTCAAAAAGAAGACGAACAGTATGAAGTTCAAATGGTTTTGAACACTCGTACCACCAACTATACCACTTTCAATAAATCGTGACGCCATTTTGTTTTAACATGAATATCGCGGATTATATGCTGGCTTCATTCCAATATTCCCTTTGTCGCTCAATATGCCATACATGTATATGAACTGTCTCACAAAATATGCGGAAATATGCGCAAGCATATTTGGTCGAGGCCTAATTTTGACATACATATTGTGTTGTGGGTTCATGTTTGGAGAATGTCCGGATAATTAGAAGTTTTTTCCTGGCATTTTGAGGTTCGAATTATCAGGATTCCACCTGTACTGCAAAACAGGAAAGGTTAAAGACCAAAAGGTTAACCGTTTTTGTAATTTTGGCATGACAACGTGCAGAAAGTTTAACGATGTTTGTACAACGGAAAGAACCTGGTTCTCAATCTATTGTTCTTCCTCTCATTTGACTTAGGAAATCTCAGATTTTGAGTTTTTTGCGCTCCATACATAATTTTATTTTCATTATTTTATTGGTTTGGTGAGACTCCCATGATAGTTAACCATTTACCTCTGGAGAATCCGTAAATAAACAAACAAACAAACAAAAACATGCACCGATGTACGCACACGGCACCTTCAAGCCAGGGAATGAGTACCAGATAAATGCATACAACGTCATATATATGCAGGACCTGATGTATGCAACTTGGGATTTTTGGTCTTTGGCATATTGCAGTGTTTCTGATCTACTCGCCTCCCACTGCTTTAGTGCCTGAGTCTGCACCCTGATCCTTGAAGTTGGTGAGGTTCCTACTGTAATTCCTGCAGTCGTGGGAAAGTTAGTGTGACTGACTCTGATTCGAATCGTAGCACTACTAAACTATTTTCATGTATGGCATGCAGGGTTGGCTTCGGTTCATAAACAGTAAAACCTGTCAAGGCAACCACTCGAATAAGGCGACCACCCTTGAAGACCACAGGTGCAAATGACCCTGGATAAGGAGACCACCTGGTAACAGAGATCGCGTTTTGAAGTCCTATGAGCGGTCGTCTTAGACAGGTTTCACTCTAGTGGTGCTAGTCTGAGGTAATCCTTGCGTTTTACCAAAGAATGACTTAGAGTATTGCACATGTCCGTTTGCTTGCACCCTTTATCAGAGCCATACAACAACAGTGGAGTATTCTGCCGTTCATACACACCACATGCACTGTAGCAGAATCTACAGTCCAAATCCGAATAACTTACAGCTTTCGGCATCCATGAGTCCATTGCTTGTGGTGGATGTTACCAACATAATGAAAGTGTGGTGTTTTAAACACTGGATGTTTAATGAGTGATGTTTACCTGGCTGGCTGACATTCATAGAATCATTGTACCCAGTTCAATCTAGCCAAGAGCCACTAAAACACGGGGTGAAATATGAAAATGTAGTGGGCTGATATTAGAAAATTATCTAATGTACCGGATTGTGTTCCGGATTGAGCAATGTATCAGGTCAAGGTGCTTACATTAACTTAGCCATTTTAGGATTCTGGGATTATGGGAAGGTATGCTGAAAGTCATTTTAAGGCGAATAGATGTAGGAACCTGCTAGGAAACATTTAGTTGGATATATCAACAGAAATATTTGGGGGGGGGGGGGGGGTCGACAGTTGAAGACCAGTTCTCGAAACACCTAGACGTCCATGCAAGTCATGCATGCTTGTCGCAGGCGATGGCAAACGCTTGCGTAGGTGTTGCCATCCTTGCCGGTGACTTGCGCACTCTGTGAGAGTAACATAAGCACGCGCACACACACACACACACACACACACACACACACACACACACACACACACACACACACACACAATGATGAAGTTGCACGTACAGTATTTTCCAGAGTATAAACCTGACTTTAGACACCAGTTATTCACCGCAAAAAATGTCGGTGCGGCTTATACTACAGTGGTGATAGACATGGAGGGATCTCTGTATTTCCTGACAGAAATCTGGGTGCTGCTTATACTCCGGAAAATACGGTATACAGTCAACTTTGTGTAAAACGACTCTTGGCGGGGCATCAGAAAAGTGTCGTTATACCCGAAGTCTCATTATACGTATTACAGTTAGATGGGACTTTGCTCCAGGCATGGAGATTCTGTCGGTATTCGCGAATTGTCGTTATATCCGCAGTCGTTATTAGCGGAGTCGACTATACCCTTCAATGGTGGATGATTGTCGTAGACAGTTTAGGAGACATGTACTTGGTCCGCCCAGTTAAAATTGGCGCTTATCTTCACACTTGTCTCAGGAAAGAAATACGAATATTTGAAGCAAGCCACGATCACAAAGCACTATATACATGATTATTTACATGTCGGTAAGCAACTCAGTCGAAAATTCAAGCAAGTTACACATCCTCCTCGCCACTATCGTCGCTGGAGGAAGAGCTCAAAACGTACGATCCGGACAGTTGCTGCACGGGTCGTTTCATAGCTTGTTCCACTTCTCCTCGTCTCGAATCACGCTCAAAGGCAGTGCGTGCCTGTCACCTTCCCATCAGAAGCTGAGTGAGACTGCCCGCATGTTGACTGTAAGTGTTATCCCCGTTCGTCGCAACAATGCGTCTTTGTTTGAGACAAAAAAGGCAACGCCAAATCAGTGTCCTTTTTTTCAAATCGCCTCTTGCGCTTGTCGTACTTGCTGATCAGCACCCGAACCAGCGCGAGCCGCTGGTGCTTGAAGATCTACATGCAGCGCAGTGATAGCTTCCGCTTGATGTAGCACCTCAGTGACCTGTGCGTAGATCTACTGCACCTACAACGCCGTGCACCAGGCTTTTCGGCTAGTTTCCTGAAAGTCCTTTGCACGAGTGTTTCTCTCAGGACTTGGTGTTTTCTTTGATTAGCTCCTTTGCCCTGTCCTCTGTGAGCTTCAAAGTGTGTCTGCCGGATTGGTCTCACTTACTGGAGATATCGACATGAGCTGTAGTTTCTTCGTCAGCGATTTGCTGGTGATAGCCCTTCACTTGGCGCTGTACTGTGCAAGCACTGAAAATCAAGCTCGCGAAGCGCTTTTTCAGCTATTCTTTACCTCCCCGGGGTAAACAATCCTTGCCATCAGACAGCTGGAAGTAGACAGAAACTGTATTCTACATCGCTCTGAAATGCGAACATCCTGACCTATTTTACGGACTCGAGCGGAGGTTGCAGTGTTTTCTTGCGCTGACGGAAGTGTTCGTCGGCGGCAGCTCCGTCAAAAAGACTCAAACGAACCGATCGCAACTTCTGTGATGGTTTGCGCTGCCATGTCGTCGGATGCAATGGTCAAGGGTTATGTTCGGATGGTGAATCGGTGGTTCCATGCCGTGTGGCACAGGCAGAACACTAAAAAACCAAGTGAGAAGATAAGCGCCAATTTTAACTGGGCGGACCAAGTAGAAATAGTGTGCAATCAGCGAAAACCGAACTTTCGGTGAGGATGAATGTTTCTTGAAATATTGAAATGTTACTGTACACTGTCACAGAAAGCCGGCCATATTCTTGTCTAAATGCGCGGCCAGTGAAATGGAGTGCTACTACCTAAAAGTATTTAAAGGAGACGAAGTGTATCAGCGGCAACCGCTCAACTGACTTCTCTGTCGCCTACAGCTACACAGTCATACTACACACACACACACACACACACACACACACACACACACACACACACACACACACACACACACACACACACATGCGCACGCACACACATACACACACACATGCACACACACACACGCGCGCGCGCGCGCGCGCGCACACGCACACACCACACATGCTACAATTGCAGTATGTGATGATGGATAGATTGCTCTAGCGCTGAGTGGTGCTGATCGGGTTACGTGGTTTACTAGAGCGGTGCACATGCACACAGCCTTCAGGTTGTCTCCTCAATCTACATGTGCAGTAGCTCAGTGTGCAAGTACTCTACATGTATGGACAGGTGTGCGTGAGTATGTGTGTGTGTGTGTGTGTGTGTGTGTGTGTGTGTGTGTGTGTGTGCGTGTGTGTGTGTGTGTGTGTGTGTGTGTGTGTGTGTGTGTGTGTGTGTGTGCGCGCACGTGTGTGTTGACTCGTAACTTCTACGTACTTGTTCCGATGCTTTAGTTTGTGTGAACTGAAAGAGAGAAGGCAGTGAAAGGATAGGTGTAGTGGCTTACCGGATCGGTTACATTCGGGCAGGACTTGCATGTGCACGTGGCTCTTCCTTCACTGTTTGTACACGTCATTCCCTTCGCGCAGATAACATTTGCGCATACAGCACCTGTACGAACATACGAAGAACAAGGAAGACATTTTCCAGATGATTCAATATCCAAACATTGACCTGTCCCACATACTTAATATTTCCCTCATCCTGCCCTGTTCACATTATCAATCCTTGGAGACTTGGATGCGAGGACTGTCTGAGGCGCCGTTCGTAGTTCACAGTGGATCCTCACCATTCAGGGGTGGCTGTACTCTGAGTTTTGTACATGTACACATGCATAGCTCTCTGAATACATGCATAGCTCTCTGCACACATGCATAGCTCTCTGAAAACATCCAAAGCTCTCTGAATACATGCGTAGCTCTCTGAATACATGCATAGCTCTCTGAATACATCCATAGCTCTCTGAATACATGCATAGCTCTCTGAATACATCCATAGCTCTCTGAATACATCCATAGCTCTCTGAATACATGCATAGCTCTCTGAATACATCCATAGCTCTCTGCATACATCCATAGCCCTCTGAATACATCCATAGCTCTCTGAATACATGCATAGCCCTCTGAATTCATCCATAGCTCTCTGAATACATGCATAGCTCTCTGAACGCAGTGGCATACATTATGTGTAGCTTTTAACACATCTACAGCTCTCTGAACATAATATCATGCATAGCTCTCTCAACACATACGAGCACGGCAACACAGGTTTCAGTTCTGAACACGCGACACACACACACACACACAGGGCAGAGTACCCTGGTGTTGATTGCTTACCTGGGATGATGTTGTCGGTGCGTCTGTAGCGTCTGCATCTCAGACAGCACTCACCGGAGCGCACTCTTTTCTCATACCTTCTGCATCCCACGATGGCCGGGCATTGGGTGCCGGCACACTGAGAGATGTTCTTGTTGCACGATGGGCAGCACTGACCCTCCACACCGCCGATCTCGTCGAAGTGACCGCATTCTCTCTGTGCTGGACACTCGCCGTTCCACTCCATCTGTTCTTCTTCAGCCTCTGCATCAGGAACAGGAAGATATTGCGGAATGTTGTGGCAATACATTCAAATGCATTCTATACTGTAAAACGACCAATTTTAGCGACAGTGATATTTTAGCGATTTTAGAGAAAGGGGTGTTTTCGCCAAAGGTCTGTCGCGCCAATCGAAATTTTGCATGTACGGTGCAGTACCAATCATCCTTCCTTCTTAACCTGGCAACCGACAGTGCTGCATGCTGTGCAACCGTCCTGCTTTGGAACTTGGCAAAGTTCCTGCTTCCGTTCGTATTTGCTCCACGCTATCAGACTTCACCATACTAAAACATATAGGGTACCCTGTAAGAAGGCCTTAGGCCTGTGGGAATGCCCTATTCAAAATTTAATAGATACAATTGGGTGAACTCACCCATTCCACAATACTCTGCAAATTTCCGAACCAGACTACCTGAAGAAGGCCATTGGCCGAAACGTTGTATATAATGGAATGGTTCGGAAATTTGCAAAATTTAATAAATAATAATAATAATAAGTTTGGACAGACTGCTGAGTGCTGGTGGGTACTACTCACCCTGGGGAGGAGGAGGACATGCC